AACAAAACCAGAATATACAACACCATAGGCAAAAGCATAGTCACATATAGTTCAGAAGCCTGGCCACTAGAGAACAGAACCGCAAAAATGTTGGAAGCAACTAATTTGGACTTTTGGAGGAGATCGGCAGACAGGTCAAAAATGGAAAGGATAACAAATCTGAGAATTAGGGAGATTATGGACGTAAAACACACAATATGTAGTAGATGATATAAAGGACAAACAGCTGATTTGGTTCGGACATGTATAAAGAATGGCAGATACAAGAATACCAAAGGCAAATTATTGAGTGGAAGCCATCAGGGGGAAGAAGAAGAGGCGGCAGACCAAGAAGAAGCTGGAGAAGTGGAGTGGACGAAGAAATGACACGACACAGAGGCTTGGAGGAGGATACCTGGATTGACAGAGATGGACATTAGTGAGGTTATAAGTCTTGGCTGAAAAACAGATTTCATGCATGATCTCTAGAATTGTGATTTCCTTTATTTAAACTTATTAAAAAGTATAAATTCTTCCTACGTGTTTCAATTCAATAATATAACATGGCGCAGTGGAGTGGAAATGAAAATTAAGAAGCTCTTGTGCGAAAAATCCAGAAAACAAGTTAGAGGTCATCCACCCTTGAAAAAGTGGGTTAGTATTTCGGGTGAAGCCCAAAAGTGCCTAAAATCGAAAGAACGTCGCTCAAAAGTAGCAAAAATGGATGCTCGACTACCAAATCCAATGAGCTTCGATGGCAATGTTGCTGAGAATTTTCGAAAATTCAAACAAAATTTGGAATTTTATTTACTGGCATCGGAGAAAGACTCAAAACAAGAAAAAACCAAGGCAGCTATATTGATGAATGTGATAGGAGATGAAGGGGTTGAAGTCATAAATACCTTGAAGCTGACGGATGATCAAAAGGGTAATCACCAAACCGTTTTAAATGAGCTTGAGTTATTTTACATCCCGGAGAAAAATGCAATATTCGAAAGGTTCGTTTTTTATACAAGAAATCAAGAGGAAGTTGAGTCTTTCGATCATTTTTACACGGACATCAAGAAACTATCACAAACTTGTGAATTTGGTGGAGAAATAGATAAAGCACTAAGGATAGAATAGTATTGGGAATAAATAGTAAGGAATTAAGAGAAAAACTCTTCATAACGAAAAATCTGACATTGGAAGATGTTTTGAAAATATGCCGAGCTAATGAGCTGTCAAAAAAGCAAATGAAGAATGTTAAGGATAAGTTAACAAGCAAAGTTGAAGTCATTAAATCCAAAGGTCGGTACCCGAGAAAATTTGAAAATAGTAATGTACCTAATCAGAGCAGAAATGATAATCCTCGTGATAATCAAAAGCGAGAAAAGTTTGATTGTAAAAGTTGTGGTACGAGACATGTTTATAGACAATGCCCTGCTTATGGTAAGCGTTGTAGACGTTGAATTTGCTGTGGTCACTTTGATGTTATGTGTCGTAATTTGTCAACTGCATCAGGTAGCAGGAATCAGAGGCAAGTAAGAGAGTCTCAAGAAGCTGATGATGGTGAGACTGTGGATTATGTGGTACCGTCAATAAGTGTGAATGAGATAAAAAATGGTAAAGAGTGGATGCAAAATATCAAGGTAGGAGGTGAAAATATTAACTTTAAAGGAAATACTGGATCTCATGTTAATATTTTATACCCAAGATTTTAGCAGATAAGTTGAAAAATGTAAAATTACCAAAAACAAAAGTAGTATTGGAAGCTCATGGAGGTTTCAAGATTGTTCCATTGGATATCATTAATGTGGATTGCAGTTACAAAAATAATGTTAAAAATCTTAAATTTATAGTAGTAGAGGGTACAAAAAGTTCAACAATTTTGTTGCTTTTGCCTCGAGATCGTTGACAGATTCTGAAGCCAATTTAGTCAAATTGAAAAGGAATATCTTGCTGCTATATGGGCTTGCCAAAAATTTTATCACTACGTTTATGGTCGTCACATTGAAGTTGACTCAGATCATCGTCCATTGGAAGCTTCAATGAAAAAAGGCATTGCAGAAGTGCACTCGCCAAGGCTGTAAAGAATTAAATTAAAGTAAAGCTTTTGAAGTATGACCTAGAAGTCAGATTTAAACCAAGTAAGGAAATGCACATTGCTGATCTCTTGTTTAGAAACTCTCTTGTCTAGAAACTTTCAAACCTAAAGATGATTTATTTTTCTCGGAAATTGTTCATACAATTATGACAGATGAGAGACAGGAATTTATTGAAGAGACCTTGAAAGATTCTGAGTTGCGAAGAGTGACTGAGAGTGAGCTATTATTTAATTGGTTGGCCTAGTGATGATAGCAAGATTTCAGAATCTTTGAAAAGATATTACACACTTAGACATGAGACAGAGTAATTGTTCCCAAGACTTTACATAATGGCATGTTGACATCACTGCATGAAAATCACTTGGGCATAACAAAAACTCAACTTCGAGCTAAACAAAGTTTATATTGGCCGCAAATGAATTCCGATATCGAAGATTTTGTTAGAAGATATACAATTTGTGAAAAGTTTTCTAACAGTAACAAAAAAGAACCAATGATTTTGCGTGATTTCCCAAATTTGCCTTTTGAAAATGTAGCCAGTGATTTTATGGACTTTGGTGGGAAATCTTACCTTGCATTAATAGATTATTACTCTAAATGGTTGGAAATGATCCCAGTGAAGGACAAAACTGCGAATACTGCAATATATTGTTTGAAGATCATATTTTCTAGATTTGAAATTCCAGCGGAAGGATTTGCAAGTAGCACTACTGGAATACAGAAATACACCTGTATTAGGCATTGACAAATCTCCAGCTGAGCTAGTGCAGTGCAGAAGATTGGAGACAAAGTTACCAATTTCGACAAAACTTTTGATTCCAGAACAAGTTGATTTTGAGAGTGAAAAAGTGAAGCTGAAAAATAAAAGAAAATTATACAAAGATTACTACGATAGGTCAACAACGCTAAGAAACGACTTCCAAAATGATGAGAATGTTATACTTCAAGAGGGGAAAACATGAAGCCCTGCCAGAATCATAAGAAAGGTTGAGAATGCACCTAGGTCATATCTGGTAGAACAGGAAAATGGCCAAATAGTACGTAGAAATACAGTTCATTTAAAACATTCTCAAAACGATTTTCATATTGAGAGACATTTTCCTGATTTAGACACTTCAGAAATCAGTGTCGATCAGAAACAGAGTTCTGAAACAAAGCAAAATATTCCAGCGGATAAGCTAACTAACATGACATCTCCATGTGAAAGCAGTAGAGTAGGAGTAACCATCAAAAAATCAGCAAAATTTAATGATTATGTCAGTTATTAGGGAACTTTATTTTTAAAAGGGAAATATGTCATATATAATTAAGAAAATTACATTTTGTTGTTCTATTTTTATAATTTAGGATCTGTTGGTAGTCACTGATTTCTGATTTACACCATAATAAATTAGTTGTTTGAGAACAGCTGATTCAGATTAACCCACCGCCATCAGACATCATTTGCGATTCACAGGCATCAGTTTAAGATTAGTTGGCGCACTGGTGACATGGCTATAAACTTGATTATAAGATTGCGTGACCCTTAGACCGATTAGAAACTCTTCTGCCAGTTTCCAAATCAAACTATAGTGCCCATGTCAATATGCATTAGAGCGATGATATGGGGATCAACACCAGGTGGAACTGAGAACAAGACAATAGAAAGCTGTCGAAAGTTTACAAGAGTCAATTGAGGAATTTCTGGAAGAAATATGAAATGAACTTACCAGAATCAATCAAGGAAACTTCAAGTACCGAATGTTGTCGCTGAGGAAGAAGAGTTTATTTTGAACCTGAATGTAAAATACAACTAAAATCTCGTTTTCCCTCTGATGACTCGTAGCCTTCGATTGAGAACAAGCAACCGTACAAATTTCAAATCGAACATTGTTCTGGTTAACCACACAATGCATTAAATCTTATTTATGCCCCGTTGAAGGCAAGCACTACCTCAGAATTGATTGGATTGAAAGAGTTCTTGTTAGCAGCCTAAGAATTTTAAATTATGTATGCCTTTTTGGCAAGATATTATCTCTGTGCTACACTACATTTTATCCAGGTCGATTTTCCGCTCTAATTAAGCCTCAAACGAAAAATTGCCTATTAATATTTGAAAATGCTGACTGCAGCACCAGCCGCTTTTTGTTCTCTCTAGAGTTCTCCAAGTGGCCTTAACTGATTTTTGGAGGACGCTAAGAAAGGCTCAAGTAAAGTGGTTATATTTTCCAAGGGAAATTGTTTTTAGAGCTTCACTTTTTTTTGCGTAAACAATCCATCATCAGATATTCGCGTTTTTTATCGTAAAAACTAGCCTGCTTATTCATATTTCTTATTGATAAGAAATATAAAGCAAATGCATGGGGGGGGGGGGCTGGTCGTTATGATTAGAAAAATCTGCTCACGCTAGGGGACAATTAAAAATTAGCATAAAAATTACACAACTTTGACCTAAAAAGTACGATTTGAGCTATCGACTGCAATGAATTAAAGAGAATATATTCCTCATTATGTAACTCTAAATTCGCTAGTGTTCAAAATTTTCTAATTAACCTTTTTTTCCCATCCTCGGTCTCCAGAAAATCTGCAAGGGTGATAAAGATAAGTGCAGAAACAACTCATTAAGAAAAGCAAGCTACTTTGGTAAAAGAATGCTAGACAAGCTGATTTGTTGCTTTGAGGGCTTACTAGGGTAAAAGTTTCACCCCCCAACAGGTAATTTGAGAGTATGATGAGGCCTAAAATAGTGAATATACAGCTTTGTTATTTTTTCCGGGAAGTTAATTTGGAATGTTTGGATACAAAGGCGTGATACCACCCACTATTTACTAATAATGAATACCTATCCAATAAGCCTATTCTATTGCAGCAATACATTTTTATCAGAATCTAGACCAATCAAATCACAACAGACATAAATTGCATCCAATTAACTAACGCCGAAAAATAACTTACCAAAAACTACATCAGCCAAACCCACCAATCCAATCTATTATTAGGCCACTAATCCCGATTCCAAAAGTAATTTACCATCATCGCCCGCCTTATAGCGGGTCTATCCAGAAAACTACCGAGCGACATTATTTCCCTTCACGATTGATTTCTGACAATTTCCGAGTGTGCGATAATCGGTTATGTTATACCTCCATCAGTCTACAGAAGACTGGATAATAACTATCACGAGAAAAGACCTCACTGTGCCAGCAGGATATGCCGAGACGCGTTTTTCTCTGGCTGTGTCACGGCTTTTGCGGAACCCTGGCCTATTTCTGGATAGAGCCGGTTTCGGCGCAGGTCAGGACGCACGCCAGAGCCGCGTCTGGCTAGTGGATGTGGGATAATTATTCAGCTCGAGTAAAGGATATATAGAGTAGGTATAGAGACAATCTTGGCCAGAGAGCGGAAATAGGTGGAATTGCACAAATTTAGGACGCTTTGATCTGGACAAAAATTGATGTGTTTGAATAGTTATCTATTTCTCTTTTTTTTTGCAGTCTTTTAGACGTCTGTTTACGTCTTGAAGGCTGAAGGCGTTTTAAAGACATCTTGAAGACGTCTTTCAGTCTGCCTAAAGACGTCTTCAGGACTACCTAATATTTCGATAGTATTACTCATTTATAACTTTAAATTTTTTTCTAATCCAAACGATTTCTTTTGAGCGAAAATATACATAAAATTCATTTTGGATGAAGAATATTAGAAGAGCCTGGAGTAATAATTAAAAAACAAATCAAAAGCTTGAAATTCTAAATTACGGGAAAAATGAGCAGTGGCGCACCCAAGGGTTTTGGGGGTTAAAACCCCTCCCGAAATTTAGCACTGGTACAAATAATTTTCCGGTAAAAATATATTTTTTTGCGATCTTGGTTAATAGGTTGGTAGGTACCTACAAACTTTCCATTTTACATTAAATATCCTATTTACGTTACGCGAAATTACGGAAAAAAGAACATGGAAATCTGGCAACCTGGCCCTGCACCGTATATCGCATTGGCATGTTTTTTTTTTTTTTTTATGGCTCTGGTTGAAACCAACTGGCCAGTATCTCTCATTGTTAAATTGACCACATTCGACCACAAATTCACTTTTATTTTTTATGAACTTATAATACATACTAAAATAAGCAGAATCTACTATCTACTTGTTACAGATTACTTTTCGTCGTTTTTATTTTTTTTACTCTTTTTTTTTGTCTTTTCTTTTTCCTGCTTTTTTTCCAATAAATTTTCCTTATAGTCTTTCATTGTTCAAGTTTTTTTTTTTTTTTTTTTTTAGTTTTTTGTTTGTTTTTTTTTTAATGTATACAGGGTTTATATTTTAAGTGATACCACTATGGCTATATCCGAAACGGTAAGAGCTACAAGGTCGGTTAAATTAGAAAAAAGTTGCCTTTTTTGATGCTCATTCAAGACTTTTTTACAGTGTTGCCAAAGTCCTTTTAGTTTATGAAATACAGGGCGATTTATAAAAAAGGCCTAAAATTATTTCGTCCATTATTTTGAAAACTATTGATATTCGGGACACAATTTAAATTTGAAAAGTTTATAATTTTTTTCGCTCTACAACATGGCATCTTCAAATTTCAAATCCGACGTTTCGTGATCGAGATACCATCATCAACTTTATTTTTTTAAATACGGACCTGAATTTTTTATGTCATTTTTGGAAAGAGAATTAATGGCGCTTCCTAAAAATGACATAAAAAATTCAGGTCCGTATTTAAAAAAATGAAGTTGATGATGGTGTCTCGATCCCGAAACGTCGGAATTAAAATTTGAATATGCCATGTTGTAGAGCGGAAAAAAATATAAAACTTTCAAATTTAAATTGTGTCTCAAAAATCAATAGTTTTCGAAATAAATGATGAAATATTTTTGGACGTTTCTTAGAAATCACCCTGTATTTCATAAACTAAACGAAATTTGCCAACACTGTAAACGAGTCCTAAATGGGCATCAAACAAGGCAACTTTTTTCTAATTTAACCGACCCTGTAGCTCTTACCGTTTCGGATATAGCAATAGTGGTATCACTTAAAATATACACCCTGTATATTTTTTTTTTAAGTATTTTTTTTTATTTTTTTTTTATTATTATTATTATTTTTTTTTCTTTTTTAAATTTCAATCTTAGCAACTAATATAAATTTATACAGGGCGCTGTATATACTAAAATTATTCGATATTAGAAGAGATTTTAAGTTGAATGGAAATACAACCAGGTCCTTTAAAATATTGTATAATAAATACATGTTATGAACATGAAACAAACATCCCAAGATACTGTGTTCCAAATCCCCTATATCTTCACATTCGCAGAGTTCACTCTCCTGTAATCCGATTTTTTTTTTATAAGTAGGAATTAATGCATGACCACAACGAATGCGAGACAGTTCTTATAAAACTTCGGTTCGCTATTCCGACAAACCAAGCCTTTTTATTAATTTCTGGAAACATATTTTTAAATGCAAGTCCCTTATCAATAAGGTTAAAGTTCTCCTGCCAGCATTGGTATAGCTTAGACTTCGACAAATTAAAATAATCTGAATGTGGTATTTTATAATTTTCAGCAAAACTTGGGAGATTTGTTGCATCCTTAGCTAGTTTGTCTACAATTTCATTATCCTTTATGCCAATATGAGCCTTGATCCAAACACGATGAACACATTTACCAAATCGTTTGAGTGTTGTACAGGTATTAATTATTTTTTTAACAATATAATTGGCCGGCGTTTTGAAGCTACAATAATTGTCAATTGCCTGAAAGGCGCTTTTGCTATCAGTAAATATGGCAAATTGTGTATTACCTTCATATTCGATACAATGTATCAGCGCTTCCCATATAGCCCATAATTCTGCTGAGAAAATTGATGAACCGTTCAACAGCCTAAACTGTTTATATGTATTGTCGCGACTTTAGGTTGCCGGACAGAAATCTTGGGTTCGTTGTTCGTTTCGTTTATTCCAAAAATCAAAGTCCAATTAACACAGCAATAATTTATTCCACTTAACAAAACACTCTGACACTAATTACTTTATTAACAAACTCAACAATTAAACTCTTTACAATCACTATTTAAATCGTATCACAGTCGAACTGAAACTAAACTTACAAACCAATGCTGGCCTTCTTATATATCCCTAAATCTCTTCCTGTAAAATCTAGAATACACACGATAATCTAATTTTCCAGATAAAAGTAGAATAATTCGCTAGATTCTAGTATTTTCACCATCGATTCTTGACAGCCTGGCGGAAGATATCGTGACACTGCCCTCCTCTTAAGGTTGATCGTCCCGATCAACTTCACGCCCATGATATTTCGCCAACCTGTCCAGATGTACAACTTTCATCTTACTCCTGGTGTTGCGCTGGACTCGATAAACCAAATCATTGATCCTCTTGATTACTCTATAGGGTCCTTCCCATGCTGAAGACAATTTCGGTGATACTCCTTTCTTCCTTACTGGGTTTTACAACCACACTAAATCACCTTCTTGAAATCCGACCGAATTGGCTTTCAAGTCGTATCTGGGTCGGTATTCTGGTTCTCAAAAACGCTCACCGCTTTCTAGTCGCTCGGCACTTTAAATGCAAATTTACATTGAAAGTGCCGAGCGACTGAAAAGCGGTGAGCGTTTTCGAGAACGAGAATACCGGCCCTGGTCTTCATTCGGTCACTGGCTAGTTGAATATGCTCCCGAGCAAAATCATGGATACCCAGAAGTCGTGCCCTTACTTCGTCGGCATAATCTCGGATTTCTCTTCGTTCTTCTTCGGGTACTCCAAACATCAGATCGCAAGGTAACCTGAGTTCCCTTCCAAAAACAATTCTAGCCGGACTTTCACCTGTTGAATCATGAACATCCGCTCTGTAAGCCATTAAAAATAGAGGCAAATGCTTGTCCCAATCTCGTTGGTTCTTGGCGACCACTTTTGTCAGGTGTTCCTCTATGGTCTTATTGAATCGTTCCACCATGCCATCAGACTGAGGGTGTAAAGGTGTTGTCCTTGTCTTACGAATGCCCAATCTCACAAACTTTCTTAAAGATGGCAGATTCGAAGTTTCGTCCCTGGTCTGAATGTAACTCTAGTGGCACACCATGACGACTAAAAACTTCGTCCACTAGCACCTGGGCAATAGTGATGGCTTCTTGATTGGGAATAGCGAAAACTTCTGGCCATTTACTGAAGTAATCCATGATAACTAAGATGTATTTGTTACCACGCTCTGACTCTGGGACCGGTCCAGCAACATCTATCGCTATTCTTTCAAATGGGAGACCGACGTTGTACTGTTTCATGGGCCCCCGAGATCTTAGTTTAGGGCCTTTACTGGTCTTCATGGTTGTGAACCCAGTAAAAACGTTCCCGAATTTTGTCCAAAGTCTTGTTAACTCCGAAATGTGCCCCTGAAGTTCCGTCGTGTATCTCTTTTAATACATCTTCCACTCGGTCTTTTGAGATAACCAGTTGGCTCTTAGTGGATTTCCCATCGGCACTTTCCCAAACTCTTTTGAGCAAACCATTTTCTACGGCCAGAGAGTTCCACTGGGCCCACAACGCCTTGTAAATCAAGCTTTTGTTTGACACTTCCCCCCATTCTGGCCCACATTCATCATTTTCTTTAAGATGTAGAATTTGCCCGATGTCCTGGTCTGCCTCCTGATCTTCTCTCATTTGTTTGGTAGTCCATTTGTCATCGACGATCAGGCCCGTTCTTCTTACAACTGGACTAGTGTTTTTCTCATGTATATCGATTCTTTGACAATGCTTGCAATCTTCTTTACATGGCCGTCTGGACAGAGCGTCAGCATTTTTATGCAGGTTTCCAGGTCGATGTTTAATTTGGAAATCGTATTGCTGCAATTTCTCAATCCATCTAGCAAGCTGTCCTTCAGGAGTTTTCATTTCTAAAAGCCATTTTAGAGCTGCGTGATCTGTTCGAATTAGAAACTTGCGTCCATAGAGATACTTATGAAAATGGTCGACTGCTTTTACTATGGCAAGCAACTCTCTTCTGGTGACACAATAATTTCGTTCCGGCTTTGATAATGTTCTGCTGTAGTACTCCACATGTTCTTGTGAATTTTGGATTTGTGGAAGGACAGCTCCAACACTGGTGTTACTTGCATCTGTGTCCAAAATCAACATGCCTTTGTGATCAGGATAGGACAACACTGGGCTCGTACATAATGCTCCTTTCAATTTTC